GCCCCTGGGGTGGGCTGGGGTGGGGGGCAGCCCCCAGCGAAGGGCGCCCCTGGGGTGGGCTGGGGTGGGGGGCAGCCCCCAGCGAAGGGCGCCCCGGGGGTGGGGCTGGGGTGAGGGCAGCCCCCAGCGCAGGCCGCTGGGAGGTGGTGCAGGCGACGCTGCTCGCTCCGCAAGGACTTCAGCCCAGGGGGCCGCCCCCGCCGCCTCCAGGCAGGGCGCACCCCGCCCGCCCCGTCCTGCCCCCTCCAGCCCGCAGCCCAGCTCAGCCGGAAGCTGCCCCCTGCGCGCACAAGCTCGCTCCCGTCAGCCGTCAGAGGGAGGGCCGCGTCTCCCGGACGGACGGTCCGCGTTGCTGGCCTTTCCTGTGGGGTCCTGGTCTCTAACAGCCACTCCCACGCCAGCCCCAACCTCAGGGTGGGCTCAGAGAGCCGGCGGGCGGGCGCGGGGCGCGGGCTGTGGCCGCCCGCGGTGAGTCCCTTGTTGGCTCTTGCCGCCTCCCCTCCGCAGTGGGCGACCCCACGTGCTCTGACTGTGCGGAGCGGAGCTGTCCTGGGAATCTGCTGGGCTCCACGCTGCTCACTTCGGGCTACTTTGGAACTCATCCCCCCAAACCTCCAGGTACCTGACAGGAGAGCAGTCCCCCTCCCCGCCAGTAAGGGGGACGACACGCGCTTACGTCACGTCGCGTCGCGTCACGTCACGATGCGGGCGTCGGTCCTGTCCGCGCTCGCGGGTCTGCAGCGGGTCGCTCACTAGGAGCAGCGCTGCCGCGAGTGGGGTGGCGGGCCGGGCCGGGGCCGGAGCAGCGTTTTACCCCTCTCGCTCGATTCCAGTCACCCACGAGTGGCTTTGGGGGCGCCACACTTGAAGCGCTTATTCTGAGCCACCTCCCCGCCCCGACCTTCCAGGTTTACTTTGAATTTTCATCCCAAACTGTCATCCTTTCCTGCTGCTCTTTCGCTGAGACCATGAGCAGGGCACCCCAGGCCAGAAAGGGACCCATTTCCTTAGGGGGCGATGGCTTCTGGACTCCCACACTCCAGCTCTCTGTCAGATGGCGCTTTTTTTTTTTTCCCCCTGCTTTCTTTTTTGGTACCAGGAATCGAACTCTGGGCCTCGCGCCCGCGAGGCAGCTGCTGGCCGCTGAGCCATCCCGGCCTCCCCGCTCTCTTTCTCAATGCAGGGAAATGTAGCCACGGCGGCCACTTTGACCAGAGCAGCTCGCAGCCGCCCCGGGGAGGCATCAACAAGGACAGCACGTCCCCGCTCTTCTCCCCGCACCACGCGCTGCACCCGCAGGCCGCACAGCTGGCCCTTGTGGCCTCTGTCCAGGCCCTCGGCCTCCTGCGGGGCCGCCTGGGCGACAGGGCCTTCTCCAGGTGAGTGGCTTGCGCGGAGCCAGCAGGGGTGCCGAGCAGAGGCCTCACGGCGCCCCTGCTGCTCCGCAGGCTGCTGGACGTCACCCCGGCCTCCAGCCTTAGCTTCGTCCTGGACACGACGGGCAGCATGGGGGAGGAGATCAGCGCCGCCAAAATCCAGGCTCGCCACATCGTGGAGCAGCGGCGCGGCAGCCCCATGGCACCTGTGCACTATGTCTTGGTGCCTTTCCATGACCCAGGTGCCAGGACAGGGGGAAGGGGGTCCGGGCCAGGGGTTCGGGCCTTGAGGCAGCGCTACCTCTTCCGTAACAAGATGGCCAGCCTTCCTGCGGTTCTTCATGAGCACCTACCAGGCACCATGTGCATACACAAGCAGCCAAAATGGAAAAAACAAAACAACAAAAAGGAGAACACTTTTATCATTAGTCTAATGAGTGACCCTATGTAGCCTCTGCTTTCTTTCCTTTCCTTTTTTAGATTTAACATTTTTTAAACATTTTTTTTTTAGATTTAACATTTTTTTCCTGGGTACCTAAAAATAGGTACCCAGGACCTATTTTTATTTTCTATTTTGAGACAGGGTGATAAGTTGCCCAGGCTAGGCTTGGATTTGGTAATCCTCCTGCCTCAGCCTCTTGCAGTGCTGGGATTACAGGCGTGCGCCTCCACACCTAGCTCTGAGCCTGTTTCCTTAGGCTTCTCTTACAGTAAACTACCTGCGACTCCACTGCCCGTAGCGAGACTGGGATGGCGGCGGGCTCTGTTCGTCCCAGATGGTCGGGTAGAGGGGGGGGTTGCCCGCCATCAGCTGGCCCACCCCTCGCTGGGCCCTTAGGTGAGGCAGTGAGCCTCTCTTCTCTCATTTTCATCACACTAAGGAGCTCCTGAATGTCTCCAGCGCTGAGAATTCCCTAAAGGGAAGGCTGGAGTCCGATTTGTCTTATAAATCTCATGGCTCGTATTATTTATTCATTGTTTTTTGAGACAGGGCCTCACTCTTAGTTCCGGCTGGCCTTGAACTCACTTTGAACTCCAGTGATTCTCTGGCCTAAGCCTCCCAGGAGCTGAGGTTCGGGTGTGCACCACCACACCCAACTGTGGCTGCTATTTAATAGGGGCGTATTACATCTTGCTGAAGGTGTGAATAAATAAGACTGTGTTGTGGTGGCACATGCCTCTAATCCTGGTGCTCTGGAGGCTGAAGCAGGAGGACTGCCTTGCTCCAGGCCAGCCTGAGCTACATGCCCGAGGACCCTGTCTCAGAATATGAAACGAAAGATGTTAAGACTGTAGAGTTAACTCTGTAGCGGTAGTTGTTCTCCTGGGGTTACTTGAGAGAGACGGGGTCTCACTGTGTAGTTCAGGCTGGCCTTGAACCTTGCACTCGCTATTAGCCCAGGCTGGCTTGGGATCGTGGCTCAGCCTCGGGCCTGGAGGCTGCAGGTGTGCGCCACCCGCCACCGTGGTGGGCACAAGGGAGCGTTTCCTCACGCATCTCAACCCCCTTTCCCCCGGCCAGGGTTCGGCCCTGTCTTCACAACCAGTGATCCTCACACCTTCTGGCAGCGACTTAATGAGATCCAGGCCCTGGGGGGTGGAGACGAGCCCGAGATGTGCCTGTCTGCGCTGGAGGTCCGACCTTCCCCGCCTTTGCTGTTATCCTGGCCTGTCCGGGCCCTGCCACCAGGGGGAGCTAGAGATGGACCCCGGCCGGGCAGGGCCTGGCTCCACTAGCTTCGCTCTGGGGTCCTGGCCCTGCTCCCCCTAACTCTGCCCTCCCAGTAGCGCCTGCTCCCCTGTGTAACACCGCCCCCTTCCTCCCTGCAGCTGGCCCTCCTGCACACACCGCCCCTCTCGGACATCTTTGTCTTCACGGATGCCTCCCCCAAGGACGCCTTCCTCACCAACAGGATTGAATCCCTGACTCAGGAGCGGCGCTGCAGGGTGAGCACAGCGGGATGTGAGGGGGGAGTTGAGCCGGGTGGGAGGGCCCGCCAGGGCTAGCGAGTCATGCATGCCCCCGCGGGGGGATCAAAACCAAGGCCTTCTGCCCCATCCTATTATTTCTATTGAGACGGGGGTCTCCCGTCACCTAGGCTTGCCTCGCACCTGCGCTCCGCGTGCCGCAGCCTCCCAAGGCTGCCGCTGGGACTCCAGGTGTGCGCGGCTGCAGTGGGCAGCCCTGCCCGGTGGTGCTGGCTCACACTTGAATCCGCCCAGCAGACCACTTGCAGAGCTGCTGCCAAGACTGCGCTGTGAAAGGCGGGAGGAGCCGGGCGTGGTGGCGCACGCCTGCAGCCCAGCACTCAGGAGGCTGCGGCAGGAGGACCACGGCGAGTTCGCGAGCATCCTGGCCTGCACAGTGAGCTCGCAAAGAAAAGACAGACAGACAGACAGACAGACAGACAGACCTTCTGGTTACAAGGGGCACCTGCCTGTGACCTGGGGCCCAGGGGTGCTGAGCTTTGGGGGGTGGGAGACCCCGCCCCAGAAGCAGGAGAGGGCCAGCATCCCTAACAGCTCTGCAGAAGCCGGAGCAGAACGCTCTTCATTTACACTCATGGCCTTCTGGCCCCAGGTGACATTTCTGGTGACTGAAGACCCATCACGGGTTCAGGGTCGGATTCGGCGCGAGGTTTTGTCGCCCCTGCGTTTTGCACCATATGAAGCAGTGGCCCTGGCGTCAGGAGGAGAAGTGATCTTTACCAAAGACCAGCACATTCGGGATGTGGCAGCCATCATTGGGGACAGCATGGATGCTCTGGTGAGCACGAGGTGACCAAGACACATGGCTAATGTTTAAGTTTAAAATTTATTTATTTATTTTTTTTATTTTATTTAATTAATTTATTTATTTAACATTTATTTATTGTGTGTGTGTGTGTGTGTGTGTGTGTGTGTG